GTCCACCTGTTCATATTTTTTCCCTACTCTGTTTACCGAGTAAAACCTACCCCCTCCCCGGTTTGGCATTCAAGATTCTAAATAAACTCACCTCAAAGCTTCCAATACTAAAACTTCATTTCTCATTACTAGCCTTGGCCCTCTTGTAGACTGGGCACCATCATAATTCTCCTTTTATTTTTTTGGTTCTTCTGCCTGGATTAGACTGCTTCATCTTCAGTTTTCCTACAGAAAGTGCTCCAGAATTGATCTTTGCCTCTGAACCCTGGATAATTCAGTATGCATCTTTCTTTGTCACCTGCCACAGCACTCCTTCCATGCATGTCTTCTCCTCAAAGGGCCCAGAGATCTGGTTTCTGTTCCTGCAAACTTGTATACCTGCCTCCAGATATGAAGAGATCCTGGGAGTCCTACTGAATACAATAGTAACAAGTTTTAATCTTTGTTCTTTGAAATTCTCTATTGCAAATGTTTGCATTTGCAGATTGTAATTCATTAGTAGGCAATGCAAATCCATTTAGATGGGAGCCAGCATCTTTTTATCATGAAATTGAATAAGATTGAAAATATCAATACCAAGTGAAAAAAAGTCATTTTGCACAACTTTCAATTTTAGATGTGTATGACTATATAGTACATAGTAACATAAAATGCCTATCTTACTACAGTTTGGAGTCAGCATAAATCAGAGCTGTACATATAAATTAATTCTATACCTGTATATGTGACTATTGCATGTATAGTTTTATTCTGAAATTAATGAATCTAATACAAAAAGAAAAAAACACAAGACTCAGGCTCAAGTGCTACCTCCAACATCTTCCAGATTTAGTTTACTTGTCTATCCAAGGTGGGAGGGGGCGTTCCTCTCCCAGGGTTATTCTGAAACAAAATGAAAGGAGGTGAGATAAGACAGCCATGAACCATCCGGGAATGTGGGTATTCTTATTGCCTGGATCACACAGTCCAGGTGATGATTTGTCTTATTCACTGATTCCTTTGTGTGTTGCTCTTTTTTCCAGATGATTGTAATTAGGACTTACATCAACTAATATTAATGTAATTAATAATGTAATTACATTAATATTAATATTAGATGCTATTAATACTGATTTATTACCATGTGAGGTTCTAAGCATTCTATGTGGACTATATTATCTCATTTCATCCTCACAGCAATCCTGAAGTGGGTACAATTATTATCCTGTTTTATATGTGAGGAAACAGATCCATGTCTTTTCTCTTTGAAGTCATTCTCTGCCTAAGGGTCAGGAGTCCTGGCCCTGCCCCCTAAGTGTCCTCAGGTCCCCATGTTTCTGTTTCCCCTCCCCTTTCTGCCCTCCTCTCCCTGCCTCTCGTTAAATGTACTTCACTTGCTGTTCTTGACCACATTCCAATTCCCTACCACACCCCAAAGAAATCCTGTCAGCAGGGCTGAATCTAATGTCTTTGGGGATACAAAAACAGACACTCCTCCCTAGATCATCAGACTGAGGGGGTCCAGATAGAGGGATAGCTCAATGAGCTCTTTGCTCAGTTACTATCACCACAAGTAGGCTAAGGAAGTGCAGCCATTCATGGGCAAGGGATACCTGGACTTCCCTGATACCCAACCCATAGGCAGTTTCCTGCTCCCTTGGTCTGGGACCTCCAAGGACCCTGGAAATTCTCCTGAGAGGCCCAGTCCTGCCCTGCTCTAGATCTGTAACTTCAAGGACTCAAAGAGCTGGGGCATTTTGTGCCCAGCTCCTTCATATAAAGCAAAGAGGAATGGTCATGTGAATTAGGTCCCTCCACAAGCATTTCTTGACCACTTATGGTGGACCAGGCACTTCATGGGTGCTGGTACCACAGAGTTGAACCCTCACCTTGATGAATATTGTCAGCTAATGCTGAGGGTAAGGAATGGGAAGGGATGTCAGGATAGGACAGAGTGAAGGCAAGGAGGAGGGCCCAAAGAGATGAGGGCAAAGAAGAGAAAGGAATGCTCATAGGGGTGAAGAATGAGCAACGGTTCTCAGGATTACAAAGAGGGGGAGGGCATTCTGGATAGAAGAAATGGAATGTGGGAAGATACTATTTAGGGATTACAGATGTCATTTGGGGCTAGAATATACTCATTTGGTTAGAAGAACAACTGAAACTGAGGTTCTGGAGAACACAAGGGACTAAAATTAACAACTATTTATAGAGAAGCGTGTGTGTGTGTGTGTGTGTGTGTGTGTGTCCTCTGCCACCCTTTCTGCCCTCTTCTCCCTACCTCTCGTTAAATGTACTTCACTTGCTGTTCTTGACCACATTCTAATTCCCTACCACACCCCAAAGAAATCCTGTCAGCAGGGCTGAATCTAATGTCTTTGGGGATACAAAAACAGACACTCCTCCCTAGATCATCAGACTGAGGGGAAGGACAAGGTCTTGCTCTGTGTGTGTGTGAGAGACAAGGTCTTGCTCTGTTGCCTACGCAGGAGTACAATGACACAATCATAGTTCACTGCAGCCTTGAACTCCTGAGCTCAGATAATCCCAACTTCCCAAGTAGCTGGGACTATTATAGGTGCAGGCCACCACCTCTGGCTATTTTTTTTTTTTTTTAAAGAAGCAGGGGCAAGCTATGTTGCCTAGGCTGGTCTCAAACTCCAGGGCTCAAGGAATCCTCCTGCCCCAACCTCCTGAGTCCCTAGGTACCAGGCATGATGAGCCACTGCACCTGGCTTGTACTAGGTACTTTATAGGAATTGTCACTTTTACTATTTTCAACAAAACTATAAGCAAGTTACTGTTGTCCCCATTTTACAAATAGGAAAAGTGAAGCCTATAGAGATTTACTTTCTGAATTTACATACCAGTGATGTGGACAAAGCCAGGATTCAAACTTGGGTTTATCTAACCCTGGAGTCCTTCCTAGTTATTAACTGCCATTGCTCTGAACTGCCATTCAAAGCAAGCTGAACTGGAAAGGTGGTGGAAAATTTTTAAGCATGAGAGTGATGGACTGAAAAAAATACATTTTAAAAAAGATACGTCTCATAGAGTGGAAACTTAGTGGCAGGACAGAAAGACTGGCCTGAATATTTAATCTGCTAAAGCAGAGCTGGTGAGGGCATCAGTTAAGGCAGGGGACAAGGATAGGTTGAGGAAAGGTGAAACAATTGAAAGTCAGAAGGTAGATTTGATGATATTTGGGACTCATGAGATTTGAACAAAGGACAAGAGGAAGGGACTTCTGACCAGAACAGATGGTGGGAATGAAAGTGTCTTTCAGTAAGATAGGAACATGGAGGGAAACAAATAGGTTTAGGAATGATGCATATAGTTTTGGAAACAGGCTGAATTTGAAATACCTATTATTCATCCAAAAGAAACTATTCGCTTGGCAGTTGGAAATATTAGTGTAGAGCTCAGGATACGGTCTCAGCAGAAGACACCAATTTGGAAGCACTTACCAGAGACAGAAATATGAACAACAGGGAACGGATGACCTCACTTGAGTTACAGGAAGAAAAGAAGACTGCCAAAGTCAGCATGGGAGAAACTGGGAATATTGATGGGGAAAAGGACATGAGACAAAGACAGGGACCTGAAGAAAGATAAGGATGACCAGGAGAGAATGTGAACCCAAAGGACAAGTCCTTTTCCAAGGAAGCAAAGTGGAGTCAACAAGGCCATATCTCTTACCATGAAGTTTCCCTCTATACACACATATACTGGTCCCCTACTACCCTAAGGCAGAATTAAATGTAAACAAAGAATGGTTTTCATTTTTTAGAAACCACAAGTTCAGGGCAGATTTATCCTGCATCCAAGCTAGCAGTATAGAAGCTAGTTATTAGAGGAAGAGTATTTCTTTACCTTCTCCTTAATTCTCCTCATCTTATAGTAGACAATGATTTAAGTACAGAAAATAATTAAATGTTAAAACTTACGTTTTAAACCGTTATCTTATATTGACGAATTCAGTTTATGCTGTTCTCTTAAACAAATATGTAGAAAGATTCCTTTGAGTAGGCCTTCACAGTGACTGGACCACAAAATGTTATACTGTTTCTGATTATCAAAAATGTCACTAAGCTGTTCTTTAAGATTCAGTTAGGGAAATTTCTTGGAGTTTAGAAATGCCCAGATTAGTGAGTTAAAGCAGTGTGATCTAGGGGACAGAGGACATAGAGATCTGACACCAGTGCCCTGAAGTTCGTCTCTTTTTCAGTCACTCTTCGGGTCTGAGAAGCTGGGTGCAAAGGTGGTGTCCCACCCAGCTCTGAAAGTCACTGCTTCTTTGAAGAGACTTTGTGCATACTTTGCACTGTGGGCCTAGGCCGGGGATGAAGGCCTGAGCAGAAACCCAGAGGCATGCTCTAGAAATTGCTGACCCTGGAGTGGACAACAGGAGAGGCCACAGTTCCTTCCATACACTGCTCTTCTCATTTGTTAACACATCTCAGGCAAGGCAAAATGGTAGCTTTACACAGCTAAATTTATTCAATGTCCCCTATAATTCTTACTAATTTCTGCAACGAATGCTTTTTTTTAACCTATCAACTGTGCTGAAAAAAAACCTGAAAATGTAAGTCCTGGCCTCTTCTAGGTGCAAACAAGTAATCCAGATTAAAAGGTGTCATCTAATACCAGAGTACAGCCATTTGTCTGAGACCCTGTAGAGTAAGTTCTCCAAAATCCTGCTTCAAGTCCCCACTCACTAAGAAGCCTTGTATTTGCCACCTCTCTAATGTTACAGGAATCACACCTAAGGGCTCCCTGTCTCTATTTCCTATGGTGGAGAACATCTAGCCAACAGAGGCCCGAATTCTGGGTTGGTGTACATATTTTCTTCCCAAGAACTTTAACTCAGGACCACCCATCTGCCCTGTCAATGTGTTAATGCTCCAAATACCTGCAACCAGAACTCCCAATCTTTCATGTAAGGAACTAGCTCGACACAGGTAGCAGCTGTTATTAAAGAGCAGAGTGCCTTCCCGAAATGGAAACCTAATTCCTTCTACGAAACTGGTCCAGGAAATGTTCTTTTAAGGCCACGTTAACAAGTAGGAACAACCTCCGACCTAGGGCTTTTGGCGTAGGAGCACAATGTAGGGTGGGTGGGGGTAGGTTACTATAGCCCTGGCGGAAGCCAACAGTCGCCTAAACAATATCCAACTGGCAGCAAAGGCTTAGGGAATCTCTTTTCACCGGTAAAAGCCCACGGAGACGGAGAAGATAATCCCCTCCCTAGTCAGTACTTGCCTGGGAAGGGCACGGCTCTGAAGAGAGCAGGGAGAAAGCGAACGCACACCCTTCGCTCGCGCAAAGGCCAGGGCGGGAGCGCGGTCGAATGCAAGTCCCGAGCGTCGGGCAGTGACTCTCGGCCTGCAGTCAGACTCCACCCCTCTTCCCACACCCAGGCAGTTGACTCTGGGCCGCAGTCCAGTACACCAAGCCCTGGAAAAGGCGGTCCGCAAGGTTGCGCCTGGAAACGGTGGGCACCGCTCGAGACCACAACCGTGCGCCCTGTCAGCGAGGAGGACCGCCAGGCCGGAAAGGACAACTGGCCGAACTCGAACTCTGCAAGGCTCCAGATGGGGCCGCAGAAGGGGAGTAGGTCTGACCCCCGGCCCCCACGGGGCATTATCCCACGCCCCGACCCCGGAAGACACGAGGGACGCAAGCGGCACAGCTCCCTCCGGGTGCTGCTGTGGGTGGCTCTGAAAAGAGCCTTTGGGGACGATGGAACCTCCAGCCGAGCGCGCACGCGCGCCTCCTAGGCCCGCTCCCCGCGGATGCGGCGGGCCAGCTGGATGTCCTTGGGCATGATGGTCACGCGCTTGGCGTGGATGGCGCACAGGTTGGTGTCTTCGAACAGCCCCACCAGGTAGGCCTCGCTGGCCTCCTGCAGCGCCATCACGGCCGAGCTCTGGAAGCGCAGGTCCGTCTTGAAGTCCTGCGCGATCTCGCGCACCAGCCGCTGGAACGGCAGCTTGCGGATCAGCAGCTCGGTGGACTTCTGGTAGCGCCGGATCTCGCGCAGGGCCACGGTGCCGGGCCGGTAGCGGTGCGGCTTCTTCACGCCGCCCGTGGCGGGCGCGCTCTTGCGGGCCGCCTTGGTGGCCAGCTGCTTCCTCGGGGCCTTGCCGCCGGTGGACTTGCGGGCGGTCTGCTTCGTACGCGCCATGGCGAGACAAGCACCGGTCTCACCGCGCAGCGGCAGGCAGGGAAACGAGACGCCGCTCCGCCGCCGCCGTCTTTATAGGCGCACTCTTTGCCCGATTGGGCGGAACAAAAGTTGAAAATCCCGCGCTGGCTGTCCATTGGCCGTGACGTCCCCCGTCCCGGCGCCACCGGTTGGCTCGGGCAAGAATCCCTTCCAGCCCCGCCCGTCCGCCTCACCGTCCACTTTCCAGTAGGCCAACTTTGCCAGCCTTGTTTTTCCCCATTCCTTCCGGGTGAGAAGTTTTCGGTCGCAGGCTCCCTTGCCAGTTGGGCCCCCTCCGCCCTTCGCTTGCCCACAACACGCTGCCCGCGATGCCCTCTTTCTGGGCTGTGCGACTCCCTCCCGCTCGTCCCCCAGCCCCAGCTGCCCTCTTGGTGGATCCTCCTCCGCCCGCCCTGTGCTTTTTGGGCGAGAGTGGCCCGCCCGCAGGCAGCAAGACTCCGCCTCCGAAACCGGCATCTCCGCCTCGAAGGCGCTCTAGAGACACGCACGTGCATACTATAGGCTGTGGCTGTGCCTCTACGTCTAGACTAAGCCATCTCAGGCAAGTCGCGGGCCAGCTCTGCTCCACTCCCGAAAACTGCCCGCTCCCCTGCCGCGGAGCGTGGTGGCGAGGACGTGCCCTAAGGGCTCATGGCCCCAGTGTCGGGCGGCAGCCCGAGGAACCCGCCGGGGAGGCGGCGCACTCGGCCCCTACAGCGCCGTTTGGGAGCGAGTCGACCGTGGCGTCCCCGAGGGGTTTCACTTTGCACCCCCCACCGACGCTGCGAGTGCCGACTTACGGCCCACCCAAGTAAAGGGACTTCCGCGCTCGGGCTCCGAGGGGAGAAGCCTCCGGCGGGGAGCAGGGAGCAAAGGGCTCCCCACCCACACCTCCCTCCCGTTACCACTGGGCTGCCTCCGGCCTCAGCACTTATCTACTCCTGAGAAGGAACGCTGGAGCCGAGGCGAGTAGTCCCCTCCTAACAGCTTAACAGCTCCTTTTATTGAGACGAGTGGGTGGCTCTGAAAAGAGCCTTTGTTTCGCAAGCGCCCCTGAGACACCGGGGTCAGGCTGGGCTAGGCTGGGCCTCCAGGCGGCGGCCTCACTTGCCCTTCGCCTTGTGGTGACTCTCCGTCTTCTTAGGGAGCAACACGGCCTGGATGTTGGGCAACACGCCGCCCTGGGCGATGGTGACTTTGCCCAGCAGCTTGTTCAGCTCCTCGTCGTTGCGGATGGCCAGCTGCAGGTGACGAGGGATGATGCGCGTCTTCTTGTTGTCTCGGGCCGCGTTGCCGGCCAGCTCCAGGATCTCGGCGGTCAGGTACTCCAGCACCGCCGCCATGTACACCGGCGCGCCGGCGCCCACCCTCTCGGCGTAGTTGCCTTTGCGCAGCAGGCGGTGCACCCGACCCACCGGGAACTGGAGGCCGGCGCGGGAAGAGCGAGACTTGGCCTTGGCGCGGGCCTTGCCTCCTTGCTTGCCACGACCAGACATCACGGCGACACTAGCTGACGACAACCCCTGCCTGGCGACCGGAAAAGTCGCCGAAAGCGACTCCGCTTCACCCTTTTATAGGCAGAGCCGGGATGGCCCGCGGTCCTCTTTGATTGGCTCGCGCATAGCTGTGTCCCTGTGGCCAATAGGATAGCTCGGCCCGGATCCTCTCATTTACGTAATCTCGTCTCCCTCGCGTTGGCGCCGCGGAAAACTCGCGAATCCCAACGCGGCCGTAATCGGAGCCTCAATTTGCCAGTAGCCTTTGCAAAATAAGTCCACGGTCGTTTCCGGTGCCCCCCCCCCCCCGCCGCCTTGGGCTCGCGGTCCCGGCGGCCTGTTGCTGCTCAGCTTGTCGCCGTGCCCGGCCCGCAGAGTCCGCTCCGGCTCCCAAGAAGGGCTCCAAGAAAGCCGTCACCAGAGCCCAGGGGAAGGACGGCAAGAAGCGCAAGCGCAGCCGCAAGGAGGTCTACTCCATCTACCTGTACAAGGCGCTCAAGCAGGCCCACCCCGTCACCGGCATCTCGTTCAAGGCCGTGGGCATCGTGAACTCCTTCGTCAACTACATCCTCGATAACACACTAGTCAGGGCTCTTCACACCACCCGCCCGTGTTCCTAGTTAATGTCCGCGATTTTCAGAAAACGGGAGCGCGTATCAAGACGAGGCCGTATTCTTTAGCTTGGCTGAGACCTAGCTTACAGCATATGTACATGTGCACAAAATTACCCTTTTCCTTTTCTTTCTTTCTTTTTCTTTTTCTTTTGTTTGAGTTTGAGTCTCTCTCTGTCGCCCAGACGGGAGTGCAGTGGTCGCTACCGGCCACCGCAGTCTCGACCTGCTGGGCTCCGGCGATCCTTCCGCCTCAGCCTTCCAAGTAGCTGGAACTACAGGTGCGCGCACCACACCCGGCTAATTTTTTTTGTTTTCTTGTAGAGATGAGGTCTCACCAAGTTGCCCAGGTGGGCCTCGAACCCTCGTGCTCAGGCATTCCGCTCACCTCAGCCTTCCAAAGGCGCGGGATTACAGGCTGAGCCACCGAGCCCGGCTAAAATTACCCTTTTTCAAAGTGACTTCCCTTTTTAAAGTGGTATGCTATGAGTGCTGATCAATATATACATCCACTTGGGAGAACAGAGAAGTTAAGCAGTTTTAAGTCTAAAACACCTAGATTGGGGCTGTATAACCGAATTTATATTGATCTCGTGAAATTTTATTCATTTTAAAGTAAATATCAAGCAGTACTTTGAGATCATGCCTCAGCAACTATAGTAAACCTTTGCCCTGTACCTGGATACCTCGATTCTGTGGTTTCAGCAATTTACTCTGAATCAATATGTACTTGTTGCATACTGCAGCCTCTGCAAAATAAGACAACACTATCAGAATAAAGTAATAAAAAGGTTGTTATGGATAGGAGATCTGTTTACTCAGGTGTTTATACATGCACAATTCCCCATGGGTGTAGTTTGATATTTGACAATCTTCTGGGTAAGGGTGGGAGGAGGAAAGATGCTCAAGGATTTCCAGAACCCAGGTCTGATGATTTATAAAATGTCCTTCAGAGATTTTTACCCACCAGCTTGTACCGTTAAAACTACTTGGCCTTAATATTCTTTTCCTAGAACAATTGATTTTCTCTCTCTACCAAAAACATGAGGCACTACAAATTATAGAATTTATAAAAGCCCTCTTAATTTTTGAGACTGGATACCTTAAAAAGCAGTTTCCTAAAACAATTCAATGGCCACTTTAAATCTTAAACTCGAGATATGCACACTTGCACACACATACAAATATATGCATATATGCATAAATATATATTGTGTATTACTTAAAGCTTACAGTTTCACTGACCCCAAATCACTGTGGGTGATAGACAAGGGTTAACAACCCATTGAACACACCAGATGATTCATATGTTTGATAACTACTGATGTTTGGTTATGCAGTTGCCATATTCTTTGGTAAGAATCTGTTCACACTTTCACCACTCCAGACATTTTTTCCTCTTACTATTCTTTCCCAGAATTATAATCATACATACATACAAAATTAGCTTCATTTTATCCTTTAGTAATTCAGGGTACCAGACATAGCATAGGATTTTATACTTCTATTGGAGTTTAAAAATACCTTTTAAAAAAAGGTTAAATGAAGAGAGAAAAAATAGTGAGAGAAAGGCATAAAACAGAAACTTACTAGAAAATACATGTTAAGCATACGGGCAACAGTATCATAGCTCAGCCTTTTGCTTTTGCTTATTTTTTTCTCTTATGTACCTACATAAGACTCCAAATAGTATCTTCCAGCATGACCTACTTCCTCTCTGCCACACTCATTTAAAAAACATTAAACTTATTTCCTACTTATTGTGCTAAATCTACCTCGTTTTATTGAACACACAAAAAAGCTTTTCAAAGCTTAGTCCCTAGGAAATGGTTCCATGTTTCTGAGAGATGAGGCAGGTTGCCAAAGCCTGAAAAATGTGGTTAAAGCATGAAAGGTGAGAGGTTAGGGGGAAAGACAATAAGGAAAGGTTGAGTTTACAGGGTAGGAATATGACTTTAAGATGTGCCTGTGAAGTTGGGTAAATAATCTTGACTATATGTGGGAGAGGTAGTGGTCAACATCTGTTTTTGGGAACTCAGAATAAGGGCAGGAAAGCAGAAAGCAGCTAATTATAAAAGAAGTTGAGAGAATGACTCAATGTAACAATAGTGCCCATCAATCCCTAGTTTTCAGTTCTCACCAAAATTCACACTTACAGATACGAAAGCAAAGCTGACCTTACAGATACGAAAGCAAAGCAAACCTTATTCAGGCTCCATTATGTGTATTTGTGCACATCACTTACCATGAGAAGAAGAAGGAAAAAAAAACAATGCACACTGAGATAAAACATATTGGGAATACAGCTACTTTGTCCTTGGCCAGGACACAATGTTTCTTTAAATCTTTAACAAATCATCATTTGTGTACACAATCCTCTTTTTCCCAGAGGTTATCTGGACAGCTGCATACTTGGTGTTTCTAGGCTACCTATCTTTTCAGTGTCTCAAAATTATTCTAACCTACAGGGAAGCATGAACAGAGGCCAGAGCCCTGCTCCGCACTCCAAAATGGAGTTAGTTGTTAGTCTTTTGCCATTTCACTGTTACACTGAGGCAGGTGCAAGTTAGTGTGAATGTGAGGAATAAGCAAGGTGACTGAAGCATACCAAGGAGAGGAAACGAAACATTAGTAGGAGATGAGATCAGAGAGGCAATTGAGGGCCAGATCATGTAGGTCACTAAGGAGCCTCATAAGCCATTGCAAAGATTTCATCTTTTATTGTAAGTGAGATGGGGTGCTTTTGGAGGGCTTGCCAGGAGTTATAACATGGTTTGATGTATATTTTTAAAAAATCTCTCTGCATGCTATGTTGAAAAATAGACTGTAGAAGAGCAAGTGAAGAGGCAGGGAGACCATCAGGGAGGCTACAGTAATAGTTCAGGAGAGAGCCAGGTGGTAGCCATGGGGATAGTGAGAAGTAAAAATATAGTTTAAATAAAATTGATGAATTGAATGCAGGTAGATAGAGAGAAATTGAGGATTAACTGCAGGTTTTTGGACTAAGCACTTGGAAGGAGCTGTTATTTGCTGATTCAAGCAAAGAGTAGTTTTAGAGGTGGAAAACCAAGAGCACTGTTTTGAATGAAATATTGAGACTCCTGGGAAGTATTCAAGTGGAAATATCAGATGGGAAGTTGGAAATATGAGAATCTGGAGTTAAGAAAAGAGACAAATTGATAAGATCTTATGCCAGTGTAATTCTTGTTCTTTTGAAGATGATCTACCCTTTCTTTCTGGAAGCATTTAGAATCACTGTAACATATCTCGATATGCCACCCCCAGGAATGCCTCAGCTTTGATCTCAGTATGTGACTCCCTATGCAACTTCATTTTCAACCTTAGAATAACCAAATGTCTAAGTCAGTGTCATTTGGGGCATCCCTTGACTAGTGCAATCACAAGGTCACCATTATCCCAAATTAGTATAACGAAGTATGTATAATGAACAATGGATATTCAGAGCTCTGGTTGATAAGTGGATGAGCACTCTCAAATATGTGTAAGCCTTTTAAATATAACTTGAAGTTGTATTTAAATTCAGCACATAAGCTTAATATGTTGAATTCTGCCAGTCAATTAACATAAACTTATTTTATTGCAAAAATAAAATACAATAATAGTTAATACCTGTGAAATCTGTTTCTGTACTAATACTTGTTAGTGTTTTGATTTCAATTTTTAAATGTTTTTACAAACTTTTTATTTTAAAAGTTTCAAACCTATGGAGAAGTTAGAAAAAACAGAGACCAACCATATACCCTTCACCTGGACTCACTGATTGCTAACATTTTGCTGCATTTGCTTTATCTTTTTCTTTTTATGCGCGCACACACACACACGCACACACACACACACACACACACACACACAGACACTCCCAGATCCATTTGAAAATAACTTGCTAATATATTGATACATCTTCCTAAATTAGCATGTCTGTCTCAAAAATAAGGACTTGCTTCTTTATAGCTACCATTATTACACCCAACAAATTTAATGTTGATTCAATTATATTAACTAATAAACAATCCATATTCAAATTTCTTCAATTGTCAAAAAATATATTTTATAGGCTGTTGTATTAGTTTCCTGTGGTTGCTGTAACAAATTATTATAAACTTAGTGGCTTGAAACAACATTCATTTAAACTCTTACAGTTTCTGGAGCTCAGAAGTACAAAATTAGTTTCAGTAGGTAGGTAGAAATCAAGGCAGTACCTCCTCCAGAGGCTACAAGAGAGAATCCATTTTCATGCCTTTCCCATCTTCTAGACAAATATGTTTCTTGGTTTATATAGTCCCTTATTCCATCTTCAAAGCTAGCATCCTACCATCTTCAGAGCTTTCTCTGCTTCTAATCACCTGCTTCTTCCCTTGACCTTCCTGCCTTTATTTTATATGGATTCTAATTACACTTGAGGTCTACCCAGATAATCCAGGATAATCTTTTAATCTCAGAA